CCAGAGCACCCTGGCACACATTTGCCAGACAATGAGCAACATTCATTCTTTACTTTGAGTGATACATTGATTGTAACATAGAAGCTTGGAAGCAAAGTGACAAGAACAAATTTGTAGTTCATTCAGCTTTTGAACAAATAAAAGGAGAGCAGTATTCAAACTTTGGCTGGCAGGTGGGAATACCCTAATATCAAGGCAGTGTCACCTTTTGCTTTACTGGTTTGTGTTAAAGCTCTGAATTTTCCATCTTGTTATAGGCCTTGATCTGTTTTATTCCTTTCTGTATCCTAGCTACTAGAAAAGTGTTTGACATATAATAGCTGCTCAGAAAATTTTCTTGAATGAATGCTATAGAGAAAGGGGCAAACAACCCTCTTTGTGTTCTCAACATGCTGGCCGGAATTGCTGAAGCCCGAGGCTTTGCTATCCCTGTTCACTTGTGACTTTTCTAGACCTGTAGAAGAATGAACTTAGATGTCCTATGAACAAGGATGCCAAGCACCTGCATCTCAATATAAGCAGAACTAAACCTCTGATCTTTCTCCTCAAATTAATGCCTCTCTCGTCTACCCAATAACTTGGAAATGTTTTAGGCCTTTCTCTCTATCCCATTTCCTAGTATAACCAATTTGTCATTTTATACTGTACATTCCTCCCTTTNTCATCTACCCAATAACTTGGAAATGTTTTAGGCCTTTCTCTCTATCCCATTTCCTAGTATAACCAATTTGTCATTTTATACTGTACATTCCTCCCTTTTGATATTGTTTTGATATTATGATCCTTCCTCACCTTGTTTTTCTCACTGCTTACTGCCTTACAGGCCTGTGTTGTATTTTGTGTTGAATAGTCTTTTATTCCTCACCTCATCATACTTCTCTGAAAGCTTTTTATTCATTCTTGTGACCAAAAGTTTCTAAGAGAAAAATATACACATACATTGAACACATGCACATATATATATATATATAGTGTGTGTGTGTGTAGAGATACAATTATTAGTAGTCCATAAATTATAAATAGTGTGAATATATGTTTAATGTTTTTTCAAAGATCTTTTTGTTTAGTGTCCCCAGGGTTTCTAAAACAAGGACAATGAGCTACAGTAGCATTCTGGAGGAATGGGAAGGTTGTCTTTGTGCAGTAAAGTAGGAAAGGGCAGCAGTGTGGGAGGGTAGGGGTGTTGATGTGCCTGACTTCTGAGACGCACTTGCATCATCTTTAATATGTAATTAAAGTCCTTAATCAGTTGACTAGAAGTGAATCAAAAGGGAAATTAACCTAGGCAGGACTGACCTAATTCGGTTAGCTCTTAAAGAGAGAGTCTAGAGGTCAAAAGCTCAAAGCTGGATAGATGCTATCCTGTTGGCCTTAAAGAAGTAAACTGCCATCTTGTAGAGAGGGTCATGTGTCAGAAAAGGTTAGGCAGTTTCTAGGGCCTTTGGGAAAGAATTCACATGAGAGGAGAGGAGATGAAACTTGAGCCCTTTATGTGATCCATGCCCAAAGGGCCCTAGGAGAGTCTGTATTTTCCTGGGTCTCATGGACACCAGTTTGGAGACCAGTATTCTAGATCACAAGTGAGATAAGATCCCTCCCCCTGCTTAATTTTCCAGTGTTTCTCCTAGCAACTGAATGAGCTACTCTTGGGTCCTACTTGATCTGCCTCATATCAACTTAATTTTCTCAACTTCTTCCAGTTTTCTGTTTTTACCCCTACCCTGTCCATATCAATCTTGTTTTACCATGTCTTGAATTACCATACTGCTCCAGCCATCCATGTCTTCACCCCTTTCCTCACTGGCCTAATTGCAGCCATTTGCTAGGAGTGAAATAAGGATTGTTAATTCTACAATGGAAAGCACCTCTCTGTAGGTGTTAAATAAATGGTGGTAATTATGCTTTTCTAATGCAGTTACTCTATAATAAAACAAGAGTTTAAAAATTCCCCTTCAACTTTCTAGAGAGTAAGTCACATAATCATTATCTTTATTCTTTTTTTTAGAAACAGAAAATCTAGATTGAGTTCAGCTAGACTGGACTAAGAGAAAACTAGAAAAGTGGCCCAGTTAATGATACAAATAAAAAATAATAATTAATTATCTGTTACAACCAGTACAAGTAAATACACCAGTTGTCCCCAAGATCCCTACCCACTGGTGTTCACACTGCATAACCTTCTCCCCTTGGGTGTGGATACAACTTTTGAATACAATGAGATCTATTCTTGTGATTAGGTTATGTTATACAACAAAGTTGTAGAGATCTTGCATATGTAATTCAATTCCCTAATCAGTTGAGTATAAGTGAATTAAAAGGGAAATAAACCTAGGCAGGACTGACCTAATTAAGTTAGCTCTTTAAGAGAGAGTCTAGAGGTTAAAAGCTCAAAGTTGGATAGATGCTATCCTGTTGGCCTTAAAGAAGTAAACTGCCATCTTGTAGAGAGGGTCATGTGTCAGAGAAGGTTAGGCAGATTCTAGAAGAATCATACCACAGCCTTAAAACCACAAAAAAATGAATTCTGTCAAAACTAGTGAACTTTAAATGCAACGTGGAGTTTTAGATGAGACCAGAGATGTGGTGGGCACCTTGATCAGGACATTGTGAGACCCTAGCATGGAACTCATTTGAATTATGGTTGGACTCCTGACCCACAAACAATATGAGATAATAAATGTGTGTTGTTGTTAGACACTAAGGTTTTGGTAATTTGTTATGCCACAATAGAAGATAGAAGCACAATTGAATCCACCACCAAATTTTTGGTTTTGCATTATAGGCTTTACTATATATGTGAACCAAAACATTTGAAAGAATATTCATAAATTATCTCTTATTTTTCCAGAATGTCAACTTTATTTCATCCACTTTAATAAAAGTATTGTCTCTTTATAGTCATTACTATATATGTGAACCAAAACATTTGAAAGAATATTCATAAATTATCTCATATTTCATCTATATTTCAACTATAGTTCATCCACTTTAATAAAAGTATTGTCTCTTTATAGTCATATATAAATATGGCTATATATAAATATGGCTATAGACAATAATTTTATTAAAGTGGATGAAATAAAGTTGGCACATGTATTTTTTAAACAAAAAGCTATTTTTAATAAGATATTTCCAAAATATTCCCAAAGCTCAGAAGACTTTTTAAATCTGAGTGATATAGGTTTGATTCACAAATTCTAGTATCATTTTTTAGAATTAACATCCTATAAACAGTATCCTCTGCTTAACAAAGGCATTGGAATTATAGCATGCTACTTGAGTCAGCTCCTTTTTAGACAGAAGAGAAAAAAGAAACCTACTTAATAGCTAGAAAGTGTTATAGTCATTCTATTTCTTGCCTCTCTCAATCTCTTTTTAAAAAAAATACCCTAAAGATTGGTTTGGAACTCAAGAGGAGGGCAACTTTTGGATTTCTTGCCAGTTTAAGGGGGAATGTGCAGGTGAGCCTGTGTGTGTGTGTGTGTGTGTGTGTGTGTGTGTCTGTGTGTCTGTGTCTCTGTATATGTGTGTGTGTACTGGTCTTATTCCAGAGAAGATTTATAAGAGTACCTAAACCAAAAAAAAATATACAAATTAAAAAAAAAAAAAAAAACAGAAGGGAAACAGTTGGTTTATTATACCTAACAGGTGTAGAACGATGGAAAGACTAATAAAATGAAACAAGTCAATGAGTGGAACCAACTCAATCTATATAGAGAAACACTATCACATGAGTCTTTTATTTTAAAGGACAAAATAGATGATTCAATTTCCTTGGAACATAGTGTTTTACTCTGAAAGGCTTCCAGATTCTACAAATTTCATATATGCTGGGTACATCCTCTGTCTATGGGGCTGTTGTTCAAAATATTAAGAGTTGTCTAAAACATTTTCTTTTATTAGCAGGTCTAGGTGGAGAGAGATTTACCTTGGCAATACCATCCTGTGGATAATATTGAATTAGGTTTGTTCAGGAGAATTTCCCTATCATTCTGCTGTAATGAAATATACTAAAATCAATCCATGTCCTCTTAATTGTATATTTTACTCTAGGTGCTGGTGCCTGAACTTATGTAGGTTATTTAGCTGTACATATCTGTCCATATATACATAACTTTATATTATCAAGCCAATTTATAACATTATTATACCTTACTAAACTTATGCAATTCTATTGAGTTTAAAGAATTTTAGGATCCAGTTGAAAAAAATAAGACCTGTATTCAAAGAAATGAAAACATTATTTAATATTATTTCAGAGAATAGCGAAAATGTGTGAGTTAACCATGGAGGAGAGAATCAAGTTCACAGATTGAAAGGAACAATACAAAACAGGTTTAAAAAAATAGTTTTTATCATGAATTCAGAAAAGCTGGGTATGGGCCAGCATAGAGCAAAGGGATTGTAGGGATTATTAAAAGACAGATTGAAACATAATGGAGGCTGGGTACAAAGACAGGCAGAGAGGTAGGGATCAGCTATAGAGATTAGAGACATCTGTGACAAACTTCTGTTGGACTTATTATTCTAAATTGCAGCCTCTGTCATTCACCAGAAGAGGCTCACCATCAGTTGAGAGCTCATGCTATGTCTCTGGGGAGGAAAGGCTGGTAAAGGATACAGGATTGGAAGGTAAGGATCTAAGGTCCTAGCTATTCCTATCTATCCTAATGACTTTGTGATGCTGCACACATTTCCTGTCTTTTTCTTTCTCTGTGGATTTTTAAATTTTCTTGATAGCATTAGAATGTTTAGGCCCTTGCCACAAGTAAAAATGTTTTCTGTGGATGTGTGCATTTGCATATTTATTTCTGTCAAAATAATCAGTCTCTGAAAATGCAAAATATTGGGTATGATTATGTAACACATTCTTAAAATATTAAAACCTGCACACATTAAAGCATCAAGTTAAACAGTTGTTAACCTGCCTCGCTAATAATCGCCTGCTTAGATCCAGTCTGTGAGAGGAAAAGGAAGCAATAAATTTGACCTTAACTTACCACATGTTTTAATTGCACAGTACTCCCAGCGGGTGTGAGGGTCAAGAGTATAGCACCATGGCCTCGGCTTGCCATCGGGATTGCGGCAGTAATTATCATCAAAGCCTTTGTCGGGATATCTGCAAACCACACCAAGAAAAGTGTCACGTAAATCTGCCTTGAACACCACCCACCCCTCAGCTCACAAAATAACTTTCCACTTAGTTTGTCTACACCTAGCTGGGGAAAGAGGACGTTTTCTGTTTTGCCTTACAAGGACTGCTGATCACTGACTAATCTACTAATTTACATATCCCACTAAGGATAGAGTGTCATCCTCTTGGTAATAAGTTAGGTCCATGTGGTACCTTTCCACTAAGTCAGGTTCCAAACTGAGTCTCTTTCTCCTAGAACCCAGTTAAGGGCAGATTACAAAAACATGACCCCATGTAGAATGCTCATTAAGAAAACAGGTCCTCTTCTGGGGAAGGCTTAAAGTTCAAACTAAAAGTTCAGTTTCAATAGCACCGTTACTAATGACAGCTCAGTTTTGGAAATAGAGCCTTTGGAGGTCATGCCCTCACCTTCACCAGATCATGAGACAAACTTGATCACACCACTTTCTCCACACCCCACCTCCCTTCAAATTAACAGAGTCCTGAATTGGTGACTTGATTTTAATTGCTACCATATCCCTTCTGCTCTCAGTTAAACGACAAGACAAACATTTATTTAAAAAATAAGCTGGAGTTTTAATTTCACTTAAAATGATAACATCAAACAAAAAAGGATAAAGAAAAAGAACAAAGAAAAAACACCTAACAGTAATTTCCAAAGAAAGGTGGGGGACAGAGTTTCCTGTGTAATTATTTGTATTTTTATTCTTTATAATCAAAATAAAGGAATTTCTTCCTTTTTTTCTTTTACCTTGAAGTTTCATGTAAAATACATGGGCAAAAGTAGACATTATTTTTTGGGGGATAATGATTTAAGCTCAAAATCTACTCCTGGGGAAAAAAGATTTAGTTGTCTGACTTCTCCAAATAGGCTTTTTATATGGGCAATTTCAAAATACACCAGGATAAAGCAACCTGAATGGTTTGTTCTACTTTTTACTCCCTTTTCTTGAGCACACTTATGTCATGCTGTTATGAGCCTGGCCTGCAGTACCTGAGTCTCAGAAGGAGATTTCCTGCAATTAGTAGCAATACCTCTAACCACAGCTAACACTTGCCACCATGGTCATCACTGAATTGGCCCTGTGGCTTGCTTTGGTTTTGTTTTGTTTCTGCTCTGAGAGAGAAAGAAGCTTCTTTTAGTGCTTCCACTCTATACCCTGCTGATGATTTTGTGTTCAGGACCATGCTGATTTTAGAAATTCTGACCAGTTAACTATATAGTCAGTGTTCTCATATACCTCATTTTAAATCTCTTTGCCCTTACACTATTTCCTCCAAACATAATGGCCAGAAATTCTGTCAGAAGAATGCTGAACATTCTGAGAGTTCTAAATGTTATGTTCATGACCTATCAGGAAAACATAATATAAAGAGAATTTCCACAGCATTGTGTCATAGAGTGAATAACAGTTTGTAAAAGAATCAATGAAAGCATGATTCATTAGTATTTTACCTTTCAGGCAAGAATTTGTGCCGGTGTGGTGTCTGATGATCCCAGCGCTGGCAAATCTTGCCTGATTCTGTGTGATCCATGAGACCTCGATAATTTTCCCCATTGCAGATCAAGCATTCAACTAATAAAATTAAAGTATGGCACGTTAATTGTTTCTGACAGCAAAATTAAAAACACAACTGCTCCATTTAAAGAACAACACTTGTTTAGCAAACAGATTTTTAGAAAATCCTACACATCATTCTAACTTTATATTAGGGACTAATGTCCATAAATAGTGACATACACTACCCCCTACAGAACACATCATACAGTTTAAGTGGGATTTTTATAATTAGTGTCACACAACTTTACTGTAGGGCCACAATGCTGTCTATCTGATTTTTCAATAACTGTCTCAAATGTATCTAGAAAATGGAAATAGAAGACAAATCCTTGGAGATTTTTCCTGTGTTGATCTAAAACGCAAAGATCTCAGTATCTATTTTGTCAGCACAATAGTGTTTCTCTCTCAATTTGTCCTCCAAACACATCTACAGGAATTACAAAGTTTGAGTTTTTGTCATACTTTTATGGTTAATGCCATAATCAGGACCACATAGATTTAAGAGATTGGCTTCATATAGAAATCTGGCACAAATCAAAGAACACAGGCATTAAAAAAAATAAATCACAGCTCCTTTCTGTTAGTGAACATCCATGTTGAATAGGCTGGGCAGGTTTGCATTTCTGTCTGGCTTAGGATAGAAGATGACCTGCTAATGAACTCTGTGTTCCCACTCTTTTTTAAAATGTATAACCTGATCTAATTAGGTAGGATCTTACTGATGATTTTGTGAGGTTAATTCATTGTTCTCTTCTGGCTGGCCTCTTATGTCACACTGAAAACTGAATCACATCAATTGCTGAAAGTGAGACTTCTCAAACAGACAGGCTGATTTGTAGCACAGCAAGCATCCTGTGGAATAAATCATTGCTTGGCTTTCCTATGAATCAGGCAAGCTTCCTTAAACACATCATTTGTATCTTACAATTACTGATCATCTAACTTTAGCTGAAGTGGGAAGAAGCATCAACGTTTAGTTTTATGCAATGGAATCTAGCCTATAGAGTATTTGTAGTAATTTGAGATGTAGTATTTGAATAATCACTTTTGAATCTTTGATTCTTATAATCTAACAGGGACATTGACTATTAACTTTCTGAAACATGCAACAACTTGGCTTGATTCATCTACTTTCTTTCATTTACATTAAAACATGAGCTAAGAGGCCAACTCAGCTTCCCTTCATTTGATGTTGAGATTCCCCAGACTATAGCCAGTAAGCCCCTGAAACGTAAATAAGCATATCAATAAAGGTGCTCAGGTTGGCCAAGGTCATTGCAGTGCTCAACATAGGTGATGCAATGTTACATCTCAGCTTTCCATTTGAATGGTTAACAGATTCATTTAGTTCTCTTTTTTTTTAAAGAATACAAAGTTTTATACCATCAAAGAAAATGATGTAGCATTCATCACTATTTGTTCCTTTGTATTGAATGAAATGTAAATAGAGTACTATGGTCACATATAAAAGATAAGTATTCACATATACAATTTCTACTCTTGTATAGTACTTAGGAAAGAGATTACATGTATTATGCCTTTTTCAGCAAATGCAGCTTGTGATAGTATATCCCTTTCTAATGACAGTGAATATAATTATTTTCTGAGAATCAGTACATTGAGCAATATTATTAAAAAATAGCTAGATGAATGAAACATTTTTTCAGCAAATGCAGCTTGTGATAGTATATCCCTTTCTAATGACAGTGAATATAATTATTTTCTGGGAATCACTACATTGAGCAATATTATTTTTAAAAAAGCGAAGATGACCACTTTCCATTATGAGTGTAGCAGATCAATGCTTGTTCAAACATGAATGTGCATGAAAACCACGTTGAGATCTTATTAAGAGGCAAATTCTGAGTCAATGGGTCTGGCTGGGACATTAGTAACAAGCTCCCAGGAGTTGCTGCTGCTGCTGGTGCTCGGACCTCACTTTGCTTTGCAACTTTCTAGATAACGGGATCTATTCTCAAAGTTTGAACGATTTGGCAGTAATGGTTTTTTAGGAGAGACTAGATTTTACTGGGACCTTGAATGGATGACAGTTGGATAAATTACAAAGGGAAAAAATAACAAAATCAGAAGCATAAGTATGCTATGTTGGTAGTACAGTGAAGGGAGAGTTATGTTTGCAGTCATGGGCCTAAGGAGATAAAAATAAATAAATAAAAGCCAGCAAGAATAATGTTACATTTTAGAAAACAATGCAAGTTATTGTTGGGGTGGGAATTTAACATGCCATGATAGAATTGAGACGCTTAAGTATATTATAGTTACATATTATTTGCTGGTTTATAACACACTTTTAACATAAAAGGTATCAGCTGAGCGCAGTGGTTCACGCCTGTAATCCTAACACTTTGGGAGGCCAAGGCGGGTGAATTGCCTGAAGTCAGGAGTTCAAGACCAGCCTGGGCATGGTGGCATGTGCCTGTAGTCCCAGCTACTTGGGAGGCTGAGGCAGGAGAATCAGTGGAACCCAGGAGGTGGAGGTTGCAGTGAGCCAAGATGGTGCCACTGTACTCCAGCCTGGGCAACAGAGCAAGATTCTGTCTCCAAAAAAAAAAAACAAAGAAACATGAAAACATGATAGGTATCATTTGATTCTTACAGTGAGGAAAACAAGGCTCTCAAAAGTTTTAAGAGACTTACCTAAAACACAAATGTCAAACCTGAGCCTTGAACACAAATCTTCTGACCCATAGTCTTACTATTCTTTGCATTATCCCAAAATGCCTTTTTGTTTTACATATTTTAACTTATTTCCTACATATTTTAACTGTTTATATTTTGTGATATACTGAGAGCAATAATTTTAGAAAGTTGGTATCCCTGTCCTTTTTAACATTGTCCTCATTGCACTCTGCCTTTTTGTTTACAACAGTTAATGTGCTCTCCTGTTGTGGTCTCATCTATTGCAGCATTGGGGGAAAGTGGCCGTGGGAATATAGCTAGATTGGATACCTTATCCAAAGTCAGTGGCTAAAAAGTTGGCTGTTTTACCATGGAATCAAACCATCAGGCTAGTCATAAGAATTATCTCAAGAAAGCCAAATTTTTAACTCATATTTACTTTTCAAACTTTGGGAATTCTCAGACTTTTCTAAATTTTCTTAAAGTCAAGCAGTTCAGGTGAAACCAAGTCCATGTACTCAAGGAAACAGGTGAATGTATAAACTATATAACAGTGTAAGGGGGTGAGGGATGTCCTTTGGCTCTTTCTATTGCTGTCAATACACTATTTAGCTGCTCCAGAGAGTTATTCTCCTAAAAATAAGTTTAAAACAGCGAACTACTGCCCTAGATCACAAAAACTCAGAGTAATGTTTTCTGTACATAAGCTCAATATTTTTTCTAAGTATAGTTCTGGACCATATAATAGTAGAATACTACAAAAGCTATATATAAATTATAAAACACATAGGATTAATTTAACAGGTTTCCCATCATACTAACCAACCAAACTTTAAAATAATGTGTTCCATTTTTCTCAGTCATAAAACAGGGGTGACATGAGTATACAGACTAAAACAATTATTTTGAAAGTATCTGAATCTATTTTTAATTAGTGTTTGTTTTATTCCATTAAAAACAGTCTGTCAGAAAAATCCATGCAGTGATTACAACAAAACTGAATGTTTAAAATATAAATAGTCTCACAAATTTGCATAAATACAAGTTTAAAAATAAATTATAACCTGCCATTAAATCTTTATAACTTGCCATTTAATCTTTGTTTTTAAAAGTCTTTCTTCACATAGAGTATCAAATTATATACATAAACTTATGTCAGTATTATTTGGGATTTTAAGTATATTTTTTGAATTTGTGGCTTAATTAAAATATATTTACTTGATCATTTGACAATCATTAGAAATGACATCTGTTGTAGTGACTAATGATTGTTTTATTTTAAATTTCAAGCAAACGCTAAAGCAAAAAATTGGATTTTACATACCTCAACTTTCTATAACTTTAAAATCAAGCACTACTTATTTTATTTGTATAACTATATAAGGTTCTTTTTTAAAATTGTCCAATAAAAGTATACATATTTATCATGCACAACATGATGTTTTGAAGTATATATACATTGTTGATAAATCTAGTTAACATATGCATTACCTCACATAGCATTTTTGTGATAAGAACATTTAACACCTAGTCTCTTAGCATTTTTTAATATACAATATAATATTATTAATTACAGTTACCATTCATGAAATAGATCTATTGAACTTATCTAATTGAAAAGTGATAAATGTGATAAAAGAGTATTTGTTTTCTTTTAGAATATTTGCTATATTTAAAAATTTTAAATTATAAGAAAATAATATTAATCATTGACTATCAGATACAATTCTTTTATGATCCAAAATTTTAAACATATTTCAGGTGATTATGTAGCCACGTTTTAAGCATAGTTACAAACATTTAAAAAAATATATACTGTTCTATATGTCTTTTTCATTTGAACAGCCCAAAATATGATCATAGGTATTTTTCTTTTTTAATTTTAAATATGCAAAATTATTTTATAGCTGCTACCTCAGCCATAATAAAATAACCTTTATAACTTACCATTTAATTAGTATCCATGGATAGAAATGGCCCATCTATTATACTATTTAAGCATTCTGAATTTTGAGGTTTCCCCCTTATATATGTATTTTAGAAGAAATTTACATCATGTCTACATTATTTTGTATATTTTATATTATTGGTTTTATAAGTATTTCTTTTTCTCTGCCAAAGTGTTGACAATGTTTCTTATTTTTTATATTTTTCATTAAAATCCTGCTAACAAATTTCTTGTGTTAGCTTGAATTTAAAATACCACAGTTTAACTCATACTCTCTAAAATATGTTTAACCTACATGGCAGATGTTGGTTCCCTTCTCCCACAGGAGAGTTATTCCATGATTGTCAGGCCACTAATTATTTCCAGAAAGAATGTATCTGCATCCTTTAGTGCTGTGGTGACCAATAGCATCATGTGCTATTAATACCAATGAGCAATGCCCTAAGGGAGGTGTGATGGCCTCAAATTATTAAAGGTTACTAGAGAGTTACATTCTAATGAGATAAGAGTAACTGTAAATAGGATTTATTCAAGGACTTCTTTTCTAGCACTTTTAATCCATGTCACCTAGCAGTCCAGTCCTATATAAGTATATTTTGATGAATGTTTTTCTTATAAACCCAGAGTTGAAAAATCACATTCTCATAAGAACCAGGCAGGTAATGAAAATGGTAAGCTGTTTAAAGTTTGGCCAAGGTACCAGCCTTTGAAAACACTTTTTTAAGGTCAAACAAACCAATAAACAAAACCCCTTTCCAATGATTTTTCAACCTCAGAAAACTGAAATAGGAGAGATTCCCCTAAAAGTCGGGTTTTTTCTTCCATGTGCAAGTTTAAGACAAATATTAATTCATTCAGACTTATTCATACAAAACAGACTTGTTCATAACGTGGTCTTAGAAAAGTTTATTATTTTTAAAAGAAAAGAAAACAATGAAGAAGTTATAGGGAACAGAATATGATATGGAATGGAAAGTAAGAATTTACAAACAGAGATGGAACTGGCTCTAGCACATAAAGTCAAGGATTTAAAATTCACTAACAACAGAAAACAAATCCTTCTCTGTGACAATTAGCTAACAATAGCCTTTACTTGTTATGTGATAAATATCAACCTAATATTAAATGAATATTTATAGAGGAAATATATTTTAAAATATTTGATTAATAACAAACAGGTAAGATACCTTAGTATAAAACTTGGACAGCATTCAAGTAGTCCCCATCCCCAAATACTTCAAAATCCTAATAATTTTCTAACAGTTTCATCCATGTTTCACTTAGATTTTTGGAAATTTAGAGTTTCCGACAGAACTGAAAAATCCAGGTATTCAGTAGCCAAATAACTAAGAAAAGTGAAACCACATACAATGCTGAAATGCTTACTCTTCCATCTTGTCAGCCATTCAGTTTTCCACTGCAAAAGTAAGGACAATGCCCTTTTATGCTGTGAGAAGAGGTGAAAACACAGGCATGGATTTAAGGTGCCTGCCTTCAAGACAGTTTGGGATGCATTGCTTTGATCTCTTCAGATCCTATTCTGAATGGTACTCAGTTCCAGTCTATGTGTCACATTTGATTCTAGGCACATTTTCACCCAAACGTGCATAGGGTCAAACTTCCAGTGATCCCTTCTTATACTGTATTCTCTTCTGGGCCCATATACCCTTGTCACACCAGAGTAGTTTTGACAAAATTTCTGTGGAAGCAGGTACTGGATGAATAGAATTAACATTGCTAAGGAAAGGCTAAACTTCATTCAATTCCTTTCAGGTACCACACTGGAGGAGATTTTGAGGTATGTGAACTCAAGATAGTAGGTAAGTACACCCACTTTTTCACTTTCCCCAGAGGGATGTCTCAGGCAGTGTTGAAATTCAAACTGATAACTCGCTCTGTTATTTTGCATTAGTCTGGTGATAATCCGACAGTTTTAAAAACATTGTGTAAAAATGTTTAAATAATTATCTGCATTTGCATGAACAACACATTTATTATGACTGATTCATTTCTGTCAACCTTTAATGTGAGTTACAGTTCTACACATGGGGGGAGTAGATTGCCCCACCTGGCATTCGGGTTTATTTACCTTCTGAACACTGAGGAATGTCACATTCTTCGTAGCGTACCTCTGGGTTGCTTGTGAAACACCAGGGTCCCCCTTCTTCCCCTTGAGGATTTCGACAGTAGTTTTCCTGTAGGTCTTTACCCCGATAGCTCGAAGGCAAAAAGCTAGTTTTAAAATGATAATCATTACAGAATAAGAGCATGCAACCTTTTGGGCCTATTAATTTTACTATTAAGTGGGTATGTTTTTGCTGAAAGTAGAAAAATCCTTTTTTATCTTATATACCTTCATATACTTTAACTTAAATTCTGTCGTTTCCATCTATTCTTAAAATCTTTGAATTTTAACATCCATTTAGCTGAATTTCCATATTTAACATCAAGTTAGAAAGATTAACCTCTTAATTTGCTAAGAGCCAAACATTCCAGAACTCAATCAGTGTTGTTTGAAACATAATTTCAAAGCTCCACTCAAAGATAGCTGGTGATTGAACAAGGCCACTTAAGAGAGAAATGAGAAAACACTGCCACTAATTTTGAAATCTCACTATTTCTTGCATTACTTATTTGAGATCATTACTTGTTTATTTTTTTATAAATATCCCCCTTTTTTCTGCACAATTGAGAAACAGATTCATTAAGTAACATGAATAGAGTCCAGAATCCAATTAAATCTGGGCTCAAACTTGAGCTCACTTTCTTACTGAGACCCCAGCAAGTAATTTAGCTTCTCTGAGCCTGTTAGCTTACCTGTGCATTGAGTATAACCATAACCTATAACATCTTATACCTTATATGGTTATTTTGAGAAGTTCCAAGGGATGATAGAGTAATTGACACTTAACAAGTGCTACCCGTTATTAAGCACACTCTACTTTGTAGTCTGTATCTACTCTGTCCTAATAAAGAACAGAATTGCAAATTCTCTTCAATAATTTTGATCATTTTGACTGACTGAAGCTTAGTGATCCCAGTTTTGGTTTATAATAGTAAGCCATTGGGTGCAGTAACTGCAACACATTATCTTCACTTAAAATTTCGAGTGCCCTACTCATAGTGTTGACCAGCATAAAGTATTTTAACACATCAGAAAAGCCCAAGTCTTTTTTTATACTTTTGTACTGCTTGTGATATTGGACTCAACAATTAGATATTACATTTGTCTGCCAGACTTTACACAAAAGATCACAATAAAGAATATACATCCATAGGTAATACCAGTAAACATTTTTTTGAAAATCCAGTTACATTTTTAATATTCAGTTTGGGTTTTGTTATAAAGGCTTTATTTCTACTTTTACTGAGACCTTGAGTTCCAGACGACACTAAAATTAGAGTGAAGTCCAAGGATTTTAGTCTCTTAGTAAATACAAATATCATTCTAATGTGTTTACTACCCAATGAAACTTCTAATAAACTATCATTTTTCACATTGTGACACAAAACAAATACATATATGTGTCATGTACCAAGCAATATTTTGCAATTAAATTCTTTCATTTTGACATGAGTGTATTCTTAAGTTTAGTCTTCAAAAAATATGAATTATTGGTCCAAACAAATAGTGTAAGAGACTTAATACTAACTAAACATTTTCAGACAACCAATTAAACATTATTGACATTATGCAACTTCAACGTGTTTAAATAGTTAATATCCTTACTTCACGAGCATTCTAAATATGGAGAAATAGAAATAAGACATGTTGTCAGACCATATGACTGACAAAAAATATAATGCAACTAAAATTCAGCATGATTTCACAACTTCTAACAGTAAACTTTTTAAAAAGTCATTTTTCTTACTTTTTGCTCCATCATTCCAGAATAGTTTAGTGCATATTTTGTTTGGGCCATGGCTTAAAATTTATTTTCTTTCATTTTAAACACTTCTTCAACTTTTTGTAATAAATTTTTATGAAAATACTTTTCTGACAGAATCAAAAGTGACTTTTGCTTTATATGTTTTCAAGCAGTCATGCACCAATCAAATTTATTTAAGCAAAGTATACTTTAGCTCTATTTTATAGAAAAAAGTTGATAAAATAGAGTGGTGAGAAGTTATTATTAATCATAAAACCCATACGGTTGCCCCATATCTATCACCTAAGTAGTATATGATCTTAGTCCTTAGACAATTAATTTACTCTCTGGGTTTTAATTTCTTCACTTAAATGAATAGAGTGAACTATAATTTCCCTTTTTCTGTATCATTTTATATATTAAGATTATTTAAGAAACCTAGTAGTTACAGCAAATGTTCAATATACAAATACTCAATATTTATAGTTTGAGAGAGGATTTTTTTGACCCCTCTATACATGCACATCAAAATACACACAGTGACACACACATATACCTTTCCAGTGGATTTGTAAAACCAAAAAGAAGCTGCAAAGTAGTGAATTAATCAGTCAACAATTTATTAGGAAAAATACAGGTAGAAAGGAAGAGAGAATAATGCAGAAATCAAAAGTATATATGGCCAAAAGATGAATAAAATTCCCTCATTGGAGTTAATAAAATTAAAATGAAGAGAAAAGATGGGCTTCCTTCCACAATTCTGAATCAATCCATATCAAATTCCTCTCTAGGACTTGAAGGTTAAAGAGCAGTGTGGGTCATCTCTTTTCTTCATTCTTTGATGTATTTTACCTTTTACCTAAATTAACTGGTTGTGTGTGTGTGTGTGTGTGTGTGTGTGTGTGCATGCGCGAGCGCGTGTGTATGTGAGTGTCCCAACGTGTTTCACCTGCTTTTCTTTAGCACCCCATATTTGAACAAGAAATGAAGCCTAGCTCTACTCTTTCACTTATGGTTGTTTATTCAACAGGTGTTCATGAGAACCTATTACACACAAAGCCTGTGCCAGTCAGCAGATTCTGTAATAAGCATTTATTCACATATACACTATCTTTGGTTCTCTGTCCTTGCTGTTGGCAAGGTTTTAAGAGAGATAAGTGAGGAAATGTTTAAAATTGGGTTACATCCAAATATACTTTGAAATATAAACTAGATCTTCTAGGTGCTAGGCTCCCTTTGTTTTCTTTTAATATTCACTGTGTTCCTAGGAAACTTGATTTATTCCATCATCTGATTAATTAATGAATGCTGGGTGGCCAATGAAGGATACAGATGTAGATATCAGGTCACCTGATTTTCTAGTTAAGCTTCTATACTAATTTCATCATCTATCATCATCTTTCCATTAAGCTACTTGTAAAATATTTCAATTTAGGGGTCAACAATAAATCATTTCTCCAGACAGAAGCATATTTCTTTTTCTATTTTTTGTACAATTAATCTTTAGTCAACACTTAACTTTAAAGTGTTAAGCCATAATGCTGATATTCCAATCCTCTCAGCCATAAACATCTATATCACAAGGAAGTGTTCACTAGTAAAATAGCTGATTGAACTGGGAAGCCAGTTCCCAGGGAGATCTATTTCACGTTTACTCCTCCAGCAGAGAATCACAATCATGGAGAACTCAGGGTGAAATAAGACCTCCACTAGGTCAGTCCAATGCATTCTCCTGGACTAGGCCAGATTGATTTCAAATGTTATTCCTTTGTTCATGAAAAACTTAGAACCACCTACTTAAATAAAATGTTTTTTCCACCATGCAAACTCTCAAGAGAGGACAAAGCTAATTATAATGTTTGTTTTTGTAATATAACTAAAATGCTATGTTTTAGAGGCATTCCTACATAATTGCAAGTAACTAATTTCTGAAAATTGTTGTTTTCTGTTACTGAAATGTTGTAGAGCTGATCAGCTTGGACACTTACTAGCTAGTGTTAATTAGGCAAAGATCATAGGTTTAATCCCAGTGTGGAGCAACAAACTCTTTTTCTTTCTGTGTTGGTCAGTTAACACATTTCTGTTTCCTAATGTAGAATCATCTTGCAGAATTATGTCCCCAAAATGGAATATAATAAAAAGTGGATTCAACAAAGCAGTTATCACCACCACTGCAAAAACAAATCACATCATGGATTATACTGATAGGCCAGGTGTTTCATGCCCTAAGGTTGATAAAAGCAGAGGTTATACAGTGATGGTGACTGGGCTGATATTCTGGCCATGCCACTTCTTAGCTATACATGACACTGAAAACTTACTAAGCGTTTTTATGCTTCAGTTTCACCATGTAGATAAAATGGAACTAATAAAACTACCCACTGTGTGGTTCTTATGAAGAGTAAATGAGATTAATGAGGTATATTGCTCAGCACGGTACATGGTAAAGTAAACCCTCCAATTCCTTACCACCAAGGAGAGAGCTATTTTAAACTACTTTGGTTTCTGATAAAATTGTGTGTGAAATAAGCCTTGACTAATTCTCCAGTCAGTATTAGGTATCAATCTTTTTCCTAGTGATGATTGAAACTCTCAGTCTGACGAGCCTAAGGATTTTGCATTTACTCATCTTTAAATAGTATCCATCTGTTGTAATGAACACGTTTATCCTATTTGGTTGTTAGGCAACAGGTGAAATGGAAAAGCTAGTCAATCTGAAGCCTGAGCTTTGAGCAGTGGTTCTCAAATTTTTGGCTGCACTTTGGAACCATGGGGGGAGCTTAAAAAATACTGATACCTTTTCTCCCCTGAGATTCTGATTTAATTATTCTGTGTTGTCATCTTCTAAGTAAGATTCCTCAAGGGCTTGCAGCAAGTGATTTTAATGTGCAATCAGTGTTGGGATCCACCAAGGTTAAAGAACCCTCAGCCCTCCGTAAGGTAAGAATCTTATCTACCTCCGATTTTTCACAGTCAACCTCTCCAGCTGCACAGTGGTGTACTTTCTCAAAGAAAGAATCTTTTTAAATGAAGTTTACATTATTATTTCACAAATACTGAGACCTGTAAATCGAGGCATTAAGGTAAGATGTTGTTTTGGCCATATTTTATTAACATATTAATCAATCATTTGCTAAATTTCAGTCATGAATTCATATAAACCTTGTTGTAATACAATTCAGCAAAGTTGGCTAAATTATTCTACAATTGTAGAATTATTCTGAAGGACTAATATGAGACTGTTAACACATATAAAAGACAGAGGCTCCATCCTCTTTTCTTCATACTGTTCTTACCTGTGTTCGTGTGGTACCATGGAACTCCAGGGCTGACATTTGATGCCACTTTTAGTGATAGATATTGTTCCCTTGTAGCTGCCTCCTTTACCAATGATGCAGTTTCTAATATAGTCTATTGAAGAAAGCAGATAAAATTATTGCAACTATGCAAAACATATGCTGTATTTATCAAAGAAAAGATAAAATTCCATTGAAACCTGTAAGTAATTAACTCTTGAAAACTATTTCAAATAACATTGAAATTTCCTACCTAAAGCTTCTACTGGTATTTTCAAAATAACACATTTCTGAATAATCCAAAACAAACAAATGATTGAGAAGTTTTAATTTTGTGTATATATGCATAGATAACTAGAGATTAGTCTCCGTACTTAACATAGTCTGTATACTCAACTGGCCAAGCAATTATGATTTGCTCAAATATATAGAACATTTTAAGAAAATATTTAAAAAAAAATTAAGTGATTTTTAAAACCTATATTGAATTGAAATAATTAATATAACTTATTCTTAGTAAAATTGTGTGGGTTTTGTTTATATATGTATATGCATGAGGTAGCTTGCTTATTATTTTCCATATTTTTGCAAACATTTCCACTGCTGTGACAGGACAACCAAATTGTAATAACCTATATATATTCCTGCCAAATAATAGTATATGCAGTTTTTAGCAAGCTAGAAGAGAATTTGAAGTAAGAATAGTCTTATACTAGATCATGAATTATGTTTAAGATTTGTAGTATTATTGAGGTATGTAAAGATTATCTTATTTCTACCATGAATTTATGTTTAATTTTCTTTAAATATTTACCCTATTAACTTGAAAACATCTATATATTGTACCATGTTATTTATACAAATGTAATATGACACAGTTGTTTAACATTCTTCAGTTATTTTATTTACTTTACTCTGCTTTTGAACAAAGTAAATACCTAGTGAATACAACATCAGATGACCAGAATAGGTAATCAACCAATAATAAGGTCTCAGTTCCTTCTTTAAAGATGTTTTTCAAGTATATGATGAAACATAGTCCCAACTCATTTCTCCAGAATCTCCATATTTTGTTATTATCAGTGAACATTGCTAAAATTTAGTTATCCAACATTGTTAAATGTAAAATACTGTAGCAAACTCAAAATTTGTTATAATATGAAGTGCTATAAACTAATGAATTAAAGTAGCACTTTCTAAAATGAACATGGAGAATGCTAGTTCTAGGAGATGCTCCAAAAACAAAAAAAGAGGGAGAGAAGAATCTAGATTATAAAAAGTTTGGAAAATGCTCTCTTTAAAGTGCCATATTAAAAATAGTCAAGATATTACTTTCAACTGTCTTAATGGATGAATTCACTACATAAAATATCTCATATATAATAGAAAAATCAGTGGGAAAGACCACTCTGGAAGGAAATTACAAACATATATTTCATTATAACTTATTTCATTATGCAATATTTAGGGAGAAGTCAGTTACCTTTGTTTTCATAGAGGTCAAATTCATGGCTAAATTCTTTTCTCACTCCATTTGACATGCTGTTGAAGGGAAACCAGAGGCATCGTTTTCTTGCTTTGTCAAAAACAAAAGCCCTGAAAAAAAATATCAGAATGAAAAGAAGAAATACTATTACTTATACAGTATTTAAAGAATGGGCATATGGTTCATTAAGGAGGACAATATAAAAAAGAATGCATAATTACATATACATAATAAAAATATGAGTAAAATTTGAATCTACAATGTTGATAGCCAAACAAGAAAAAACAAACTTAAGGTTTTGTAGGAGTATATTTAAATATCAGATTGAATACTCTTTGGAATGTTCTCATGTTATTCTGAAAGACTTGTAGAAAAATAACAGTTTTAACATGTAAAATCAATACGTAACACAAGTATTTAAATTATTTCTGAGGGCTTTATTTTTCTGGAACCCCACAGCAAGTTGGAAGGTTTTATCTGAAGTTGTATAAAAATGGTATTATATTGAGATATTTAAGTTATCTCAGTTATATCTAAGATATCATGAGTAATTTCCAAAATGTGTAACTGTAAAAAATATATTCTAAAATGACATTTTCTAAGGTGTGTTAGATAAATCAAGTGTTTGGAAATTTTTGCATATAATGTAACTTTTTTGGTTAATTATAAAACATTGCAGCTTATTAAAACTATGAAAATCTTGAGGATAACTAAGCTAATATTTCCTAAATAGGTTTGCTTATATAAGGATTTTTAATTGAAAAAAACTAGTAATATTTGAGAATATCTTTTTGATATAGCATTTCAAAGAAAGTTACTAAAATATGCCACCTCTACTATTCCTATAGCTAAGTATTATATTGGTTTTTTGTTGTTGTTCAGTGAAAGTATATAAAAAATGATATATACCCAAAATAGTGATAAATTTGTTTTTAAGTGATTCCATCTGTAAAGTGGGTAACAGGATTTCCAGTTTGCTGATCTCATTGATTCTTTTCTCTCATTCCAATACAATGACAAATTCTTTAAGAAAAGTGTTTTTAAATATTGTTTTACACCTCCCTATAAAGTGGGCAGAAGCCATCAAATTCCATGAGTTGCGTCTTCTTTTAGGTTTGACTTTTCGTATCTTTATCTTAACATCGTTTTAGCTTTAATCTTCTTTTCAACAGCTTATTTTGTCTATTTCCTAGTTGTTTATGGCAGGAAGGCAATTCCAGTACCTGGAAATTTAGCCATTTAGCCATGGTTAAAAGAGGAAAGCTTCCCATCTCATTCTTTTAAGTTGAATTCATGAATGAGCAATTTCCTGAAGAGTTTAGAATCAGGAATTCTTGTTCATCTTTCCTACCCAGCAAAGACAAATTCGAACCTCTAGAAAATTAATATTGTTGATATCTTCTCAAGAAAAAACAGTATTTAAGAATGTTCCACCTCACACTCATTATTCACTTCACAGATGCTTTTGCATACTTTTTGGTATTTTAGAAGTGGTTTTTAAATGATTCTGTTTTATATAACAAGTTTACAAACCAGATTCTTCTATTCATTAAGACCCTAAGTTCACAGTATCATAGTATGTTCATTCAATTCTGTATAGCTAACATATTTAATACTTACGTTAAATACGTACGTGTGTGTGTGTGTGTGTGCACGCGCATGTGTATGAATGAGGATTTTGCCATTTCTTGGCCGACGAATCTTGGCTCTAATACATAATATTACCTATGGTTTTCTGCACAGGTTGCCATAAATTTGGAGATAAAATATAACTCAACCAAAATATGGTAGGAAGGTATGAAACCTCATATATATGGAATATGTGAGCACCTAGTAATTTATTAATGTTTTCTCCAGTGCAGGAAAATCCTTTTAGTTCCTACTAAATAAAACAACAGGGAAGTTTTTCTTTCCTAAGTATAAGGTTGACTGATGTGAAAACTGAGCAGTAGCAATACTTTCCTTACTTGTGGGTCCAAGACAGTTTATTTTCAAAATTAAAAATCAGCAATGAGGTGTCTTCTCTTTCCCTTTTTCCCACCCTTCCAACTCTGAGAGGGGAAAAATACAACTCCATCCTCCTCAACTGCTGGAACATGCCCATGAATCTACACAGCTGAGATGTTGTTTGAGAGTAGTTGCCTCTTGTTAAAAACATTAAGGCTTTCATTGGGAAGTCAGGAAATAAAACAGTATTATCATACGAATATACTTGCAGTCCATTCCCAGTCCCCTTGCCAGAAGCTATCTCCCTGAAATTGGCAGTTTCACTGTAAAAATTGAAAGCAGATAGCCTTTCCTCAGCCTAAAGCTGATAAAGATCTTTTCTGACAATGCTCTTTCCTCCTAGGCCCATAACATTTATTTCTCTGAAAAAGGCAAGATGAAATTAGGACTGCTTGCCATGACATTACCAAACCCTGTGTTCACATTATGTGTCAATACCTAAATGTAATTGAGTAGAATTCAGTATGCACAGGATTTTATGCATGACCCTGTTTAAAAAAAAGATAAAATAGGAAATGAAAGAGTGGGGAATAAGTGAGGGAAGATAATGAAGAACTAAAAATTGTGTCTTTTTCTGACAGTTTAGGAGACTATTCAAATAAAATTGTCATCCTCTTAGCCCAAGACAAAAAGTTTTATCCTTTGGGATCACTGGCAAAGAATTAAGGCATTAGACCCTAACATTTTGGCACCAGAGACTGGTTTCTTTTTCCAAGGGAGTGGAGAGAGAGGGGTGGAAAGGGGAGGGGGGATGGTTTTGGGATGAAACTGTTTCACCTTGGATCATCAGGCATTAGATTCTCATAGGGAGTGCGCGACCTAGATCCCACAAATGCTTAGTTCACAATAGGGTTCAACAACTGTGAGAATCTAATGCCGCAGATCCAGCAGGAGGTGGAGCTCACTGGCCTGCAGCTCACTCCTGCTGTGAGGTCTGGTTCTTAACAGGCTACAGACTAGTGGTGGGGGTGGGGAGGTAGAGGACCCCTGTAGTAAGGAATTCTTCCTTATGAGGTCACACAAGGACCACCAAAAGACATGAAACTCTCCATTTAAGTCCCCTCATGCCACTTTAAATTGCTCCATCAATTTTCACCTGAAACTTCATCATTGCTATCCTCTTCTTTTAAACAGCCTCTGCTGACACCAATCTCTAATTTTTAAACTAATTCTCTCAACACCTTTTATTTAAATCCCTTAAAGCAATGATATAATAAAGTTGCAGTAAGTTTTGGCTGCTGCCCAATTTCTGTTCTAAAAATTCCTCCATTTCTCTTGCAAGGAAAAGGAAAAGGTTACTCTGAATATTTTAAAATATTAGGGAGGTCAAAGCCAATTGAATTTCATTTTAGTTTCTCAAATTCAATTGTTCATGAGATGAGAAAGCAAATTCCATAACCGAAGCCACTGTGGATTGTAGAAGATAGCAGTTTTGTACTCTTACTCACTCAAGCTGTGCTTCCATAAACTGAGAGCTAAGTCTTCATTTGAATTGAGTTAAATCTAGAGTCAAACTTAAAATTTTATGATCAAATCACGTTGACTACAACACAAAATACACATGATTATAATGCGTGCATGCTATATTTGGAAAATTATTCTAGGAACAAAATGAAGTAACTTACTTGCAAGTGAATGGAAGTCCTCTATTCCTAGTACATCTATTAGCACATTCGTCTGCAGTATTCACTTTTTTGGTTTTTATCTTCAGTGATGGGTCTATTTTGATTAGGGTAGTCTTTGCTGACTTTTTAAATTCATGAATTGTATTTCTTCTTTTCTTATGTCCCTCTATTAAATACAAAATGTTTTAAAAAGTAAACATTGGAGAAATGTTTTTAAGGCTCATATATATTTTAGAAAATCCTTAGGGATCATCTACAAGAAAATTATTTTACCTGACAACATACTAGATTTCCCGGGATGAGGAGCAGAGTGAGGTAGGGAATAGTTAAGATAAAGAGAAGAATATGGGACTCAAGGAAAAACAAATAACTTGTCATGTAGAGTCACTCATTTACATTTTTTCAAATTAAGGCACTTTTAAAAATTAGGACAGAGTTCACACTAAAGAAATAAATAACATGATATTTTCCAAACATGAAAGCAAATATCAGTGCTAGAAACATATCATGTCATGCTTTATAATTAAACTTTTCATTTCTTTCTACAACTGGTCCTCTTGTACATTATAGTATTAATTAGATAAGCCAACACAAAGACAAGTGAGAAACTTCTCAGTAAAAAATGTACAGTGGACAAATTCTTCTGACCTACCCTTTAAAGTCTTTCATATTATTCATATTTTAGCCCCTCTCTCCTCATTTAGTGCATAAATGTTTTTTGTGCTTTTGGACACTATTTCTTGATATCACTGAACTATTTGTCTTGAGATCAAGCCAAATGCTGTAAATCATATGTATGTAAAACTTCATCCTTTAATGTAGCAATATCATTTTTCTTCATGAAAATACAAGGCGCCTAGATAGCATGAGCCTCCTACTGAAAAACAGGACTAAAACATTTTGAAAGACTTAATCTTATGGATAACTTGAGTGTATCAAAAACTTGTTCTCTATAGTCTCAATTTGCCCAAAATAGCCCCAATCTTTTGGTGAACAGCATCTTCACAATGCAGATCAAAAATTTTACTAGAATGCAGCTATTGTGTAATAAGGATATATGTGCTTGTGCTCTTCTGCCTGTCAATTCTTTTTGAACATGCTTATACCAAATGCAGTCAGGATACATTCATTTTTAAGTCAAAGAAACCAAGAGAGAAGAAAATTAATTGACCACTTAGAAAATCTCAGATTGGAAACCTAGCAGCCTGGCTTAAAAACCACCACTCTGAACCACTGACCATGCCATCTGTATCTAAGAATTGTTATTGTAGTGGCAATATGGCATGTAACATTTTCCTGAAAATTTGGTTTAGAGCTAGCAGTAAAGAAGAAATGTGAATAGTAGAGACGGAAATACATTACTGATCTGTGTCTGTGTTGAAATGTGTCAAAAAAGGAGAGTAACAATTTTGGTGCACAAAATTTGGAAATATGACTAGCAGAGTGAGGTACCGAGAACGCCATCATACTCTGTTTGTCAGCAACCACTGGCTCCAGTTGGTTTATGAGATAACCAGATGCTACTAATTAATGTCCATCCTAATTGAAGGCCGCAATAAATTAGAGAAAACACGATGTCCTCTAAGTTTCTGAATCTCCAAAATTCCACAGCACAATCTCCAAAAGACTAATATTAATTCCTGCAATGATGCTTTCATTTTTAATTTTTCTTTGCCTTATAGGATAAAATGGCTATGGTACAACAGATACAGTTTAAAAGATATTTTAACATGAAAACAAAATCAAGCAAAAATCTGTCAACATGTTATCTATTGAGTGTAGACCAAATGCCTTGTATAACATTGGCAGAGAGATAATAATTCTGGCAATCTTATTGACTTGCCAAATGACTTTACTTAATTACCTGAAATGTTAACATCCCGATTTCTCAATCTAAAATATGAAAGCTATGTTAACTTTAAACTATTATGATTAGGTAAATATTTGAAAATCAATTTGGATTTTTTAAAGTTATACAAAGTTTTAGTTTTGTTTTTGAAATGTTATCCTTCAATCTCTGGCATGAAGAAGAAACTTTTATTCTTCCAAGCAAAGAAGGCATAATTCATTTCAGATTTTGGTTCCTGTCACAGAACCATGTTAATAGGTGATAAGATTTTCTATTAAGAGTTTCTCCTTCCTTTGACCTTATTACACTATTTCTAAGGTGCTTTGAACTGCTTCATAGCATAATAGTTATATAATCTCCTATATTCATTTGAATGTTTCTTAAAAACAAACGACATTTATTGATGAAAAAAAAATCCGTGAAAACAACTGTTCACCAAAATAGAAGAATTTTATATACATATTTCTCAAACGAATTCTATTGACTAAAAATATAAAATTGCAGTTGGCCTGATGTATAATGTATGTAATATACATGTCTAAGCGTGAGGGAAAAGCATAAAAATAAATTCAAAAAGTCTAGGACAAACATTAAATGTGTCTTGTATTTTAATGCATCAAATGAAACAAAATCTCTGGTCAATGTTCTGTTTTTTTCTCAATGGCATGCAAAATGAAGGCAAGCTGTGAAGACAATTCTGGAGAGCAGAGGTCTCTGTGGAATTCCTGATTGTATTTAATTCTACAGATCCTCAGTTGTCCTATTGAAATGCGTTAATGTGTTGTTGTACTTCATAAAAATAGTCTACACTTGCTTGCTGACAAATTTTCCAATCACTACTGTTCATCTAAAGATGAAAAAGCATTTTGCGAACCAAATCTATTATTTCCCTTTACTAGATAATAAATAGAAGCGAAAAGCTTGTCTGGGCTACAAAACTATCAGGGGCAATTGGAACCAGACACCAGAATTCTCTTCTCACTATTTTGTTCTCATGACATAGAAACTTTCCCTTTTAATTAAGTCATTTCTACTAAGCCAGTAACTAATTACTCAAAAATATGAAGTTGGAGCTAATTGTACATCATGTAATCCACACATCTATAAAATTAATTCCTTATTCAATAAAAGAAAAATTGAAAACAGCAGTCATTCAAAAACAGCATCTGAAAATAAAATTCCTTTGCTGAAAATAGTTTCAACATTCTCTTCCATATGTATTAACAACTGATGCTTGTTTTACTGAAAACAGTTAAAAGCCAAGCTTAATTTGGGAAGAAACTCAAAAATATCTTTGGATCAGATTTTTCCCTACTATTTTTTTTTTGTGCGTGACTGTTAGTTGAAGTTTATAAACAAAATATTGAAATGAAATCAAAGGGTGAGAGATCACTACAAATTTGTCATGCTTTCCTGTGCTTTAAATTACAACTCCTTTTTCCTCTTCTCCCAGTATGGGAAAACATTCTGGAAGCTATATTTCCTGAAAAACCTGAAGTCCCTATTTTAGAGCTGAAGTCATTAGGATCCTAGTGAAAACCTATACACAAAAAGTAGGGTCAAATGTATCAAGGTGCTTGAAGAAAGACACATTTCTCCCTCTGGTCCCGGCACCTCACACTCATTTCTCTCAGTACCTCATATATTTTCTTCTCTGTGTGGACTAACCATTGACTTCAAAGGAAAATCATGCAAGGAAAGGATTTGCAGGGTGTGGAAAGAAGCAGGAATCTGGCTCCACATATTCTGAGAAACCTATCCACATGATTAGTGATTAACAGTTTGAAGTGGCAAGATGTTAAGATGAAAGTACACAAATAATGGAAGGGAATGGTTGGGACTGGAGATTGTAAACTCTCCAGAGCCCACAATTTCAAATAGAAGTCTATATTTTTATTGCTCTTATCTAGGACATGGATTTTGCAAGTTGACAATCATCTCCCCTTATTTAGAGAAGGCAACAATATCACTAATAAAGACACCAAGAAGACAAGAGATTGTGTCAAACGTAAATCAAATGCTCGTATTTCAGAAGCAGCAGCAGCATCTCTTCCAAGGGGATTTACAAAGGAAAGTGATGTTTAATGTGATTTGAGGAGCCTCCCTAGGTATGTTCTTCCTTCTTTCCAGTTCTTGTTTAAAGTTTTATTCTTCTAGAAGCCTCATCCTGGTCTCCACCTTCACTGTCTGTTTCTGCCTAAAACTTTCCTTTCACGCAGGAACTGAAGCAACCACACTGAAGTACAACTTCAATCAAGTATCTTTTCAACAAAAAGCTGCTCCCATGACATTCATTTGAAAGACCTCATGGTTGAGCATGACATTGAATCCTATCCATTCTACCTTATCTTACTTTTCCACTCACAGACAGCATTCTTCATCACACACCCAGTACTTCTGCCTCAAAAGCTTGCCTTCTGTTGCTGGGGTAGGAGAGGCAGGACCTTCCAGGGACATTCCTTATATTTATGAACCTCTGTACTTTGGGCCACTTACGTTCCTCTGCTAAGGTACTGACTTTTCTAACATCCGTCTTTTCATATTGACTTTAGTACCATATTACCCTTTAAGCTGGTTTGCTAGAAATGAACTCTCAAACTATAGTTCAAAGCATTTCTAACAGAGGGGTTTTTTAAATATATCACTTAACCAAATGATTTTTTAAAAACAAGTTTCAGTTGATTTCACTGTTGTTGACTTCAGTATAAATGAAAGAGGAAAAAACCAAAAGCACCACATAGTTCATTCACATAGATTTGGGTAGGAATCTCAGCTCTGTCCCTTAACTCACAAAGAAATAAGATAACAGGTCTTTGAGCCTCAGTTTCCTCAGGCAAAATGAGTCCAATAGTGCCAATCTTATTAGAATTAACTAAGATGTACTTTACTACTTGGTTCATGCTCAACAAATTTAAGTTCATTTCTCATTTGTTCATCTTTATATCCCCCACATACTCCTGAACATCAGGTGCTCACTTAATGCTTCGTTTGTCACCGAGGACTGGATATTTGTTCCCAATGTAGGTGGGAGTTAATGGAGGGTAATTCTATGTAGACTAACTTCTACAAACACGGCTTGGGCCCATTATGTTGAATATTTCTTAAGAAGATTTTTTAAAAAGTATCTCCATAAGGTATTCTGTTCATAGCTGGTTGTCAGCTTTTTATAGTACATACTTCTTTTCTAACAATGTTTTATTTTACAATATGGACAAACATAAATTCATAGAATAAATAAAAAATTATAACCAAAGCTAGTAACAACAACAAAAGAAACCTCTAAATAGTCAATATTAAATAACATTTTAAAAAGAACAAATTTTATGTGTTCTAAAAGGCTAACCATGTTTTTCATTTTAGAGGTTATTAAAAAAAAACCTATCAAAATAAAACTGTCCACCTAAACAAAGGCGGACCCTCCTTTGATGACAATTTTAGAATTATCCACTTCAGGAATTATTCACAGCATATTTGTAATTCCCAACTGGACTCTCCTTGCCTGCCAGCACTCTTGGGCTGCATTCTGCCTGTACTCAGGAAACACAGTCATTTCTACATTAGGCAAAGTGAAATATAATTACAAATGTATGTCTCCTGCCAAAAGTTCATAATGCATGCCAAAAACAAATAGACACTGGCTATGGTTGATCTACTGTTTGGGTTTTCCACACTGCGTTCCCCTTGCATTAGCACAGATGAATTCAGGTAACCAGATTCTTCTTCAGAACAGTGACATTTTAATCTTTGAAAATGAAAGCCCTCAAGATATTAGCCATTATTTCGATTTATGCTCAAAATCCCCTAAAACAGCAGTCTTCTGTGAAGCAAATTTTTTTTTTTTTTTTTTTTTTTTTTTTTTGAGACAGTCTAGCTCTGTCGCTCAGGCTGGAGTGCAGTGGTCTGATCTTGGCTCACTGCAACCTCCATCTACTGGGTTGAAGCGATTCTCCTGCCTCAGCCTCCCAAGTGATTAGCTGGGATTACAGACACGTGCCAACATGCCAGCTAATTTTTTGTATTTTTAGTAAAGATGGGATTTCACCATCTTAGCCAGGATGGTCTTGATCTCCTGACCTTGTGATCCGCCCACCTCAGCCTCCCGAAGTGCTGGGACTACAGGCGTGAGCCACCGCATCCTGCCCTGTGAAGTAATTTTAACATGACACACCTCAAACATAATAACCTGCTTGATTTGAACTTACTTCTTTTTCACTGCTTCAGAAATCTTACGTAAATGCTTTCAAAGTGACCCTTTTCCAAACAGTGTCATTTTCCAAAAGGGCCACTTCACAAAATAAAAGAAAACCAGGTGGGTTGAATGATTTCGTGTAGCAAATTCTTGAGGTTTTTAACCCTTGTAGCCTATCAGAAACTAGATCAGAGGTCTGATAAATTTCACATGTAACATCTCAAAAGATACTGCCAGTTCTCTTTTTTATATTGTAAAAAGGCCATGTCTCCATCTGGACACTTGTTGCATTCTTTTATTCCCCTGTGCCCACCCTTGATATTCACTGCCTTCTCCCGTTGGCACCCCAGCCACTACAATGATAATACAACCAAATACAGATGTTTCCTCTTGTCCTGATAACAAGAGAAACTTCCCAAAGCAGCAAATGAGGTCTCTAAACCTCCAGGCAATATGAACTTTCAAGCAACTCCTCCCCAACCGGCAAATCCAAGGGAGAAAGAGGGAGATGGAGAGGGGCAGTTCTGCAGCCTTAGTCAAAGTCTCCGTGCACTGCAGTTTCAAAAGGGCAGGCATCCACACCCAGAAAGAATAGGATCCTTAAACAGAGGCTTTCTCTTTCATTTTTATGATATGCAGATACTCAGAGTTTATTCTGCCTCCTCCAAATGAAAACCTGTACAAAGTCATAATTTGGCCCCGAATGTTGTCTAGGTGATGTGGAGTAGTGGATTATCATGAAAAATTGTCCTCTGGAAAAAGATGACTTCCTGCTGGACTGACCATCATTCTCCCGTCTTCAGACCAGACCCTCTCTTTAGCTTTAAACTTGTCCAGAGCAGCCAAGTTCAGCCAGTATTAGCACTTCCTTCCTATCCCATAATCCATAATTATTAGGCTAAATGGGACCAGACTTGGGTTGGAGGTGGAGGGCAGTTGAGGGAATGTTAATTATCATTTTAAATGCTATTCAAACAAAAAAAATTGAATGTCAAAAGAAGGCATAATGAGAGCTTTTACAAACCTATGCTACATACTGAGTTCAGAAAGGATGCTGCGAATAGGGTAAAAAGAGAGTGTTAAAGGAATAGGGAAGGTTAGCCAGAGAGTTAAATGCTAATAATAATTATGAAGAAGAAGGAAACTAACCTGCATAGGGGATGGCGATGGGGAGCAGGAGGAGATGCAGGAGGACATGCTGCAGCAGCAGGGCTGGCAGGAGTTTGGTCACCCACATGGTGCTGCTGGACCGGCTGGCGGATCCCACTGGAGGAGATGCCTGGGTGAAAGAATCCTGTCCGGAGTCAGTGCCTAAAAGAGCCAGTCGGCTCTGAGCTGCTTTTTATTGCGATGAGCTAAGTTTGTTGTGTGATTAACTGGAAAGATCTAGGTCTGAACTCCCTCTTACGGTAAGAAACTGTTTAACAACAGCCCTTTACTCTCTTCCAGCCCCCTCCTTTCCTCACTCGCCCCCCTTCAACACCACCAAACAGATCCCACCCCCCCCTTCCCCGCCTCCCCCCAACCCTACGCTTAGGAAAGAAACTTACAAAGAAAAGGTCACCTGGCCTGAGGCCAGCTTCAATTTGGAAGCTGGAGCTCCAGATCCCAGTGGCTCCTATCCGAGTAAGGAAGGGAGGAGCAAGGCTGAGCCCAAAAGCTAAATCAAGGCACAGGCAGAGGACCAATTCGCTCAGTTTAAACAGGAAAATACATGTGTTTATATATCTGTTTGGAAAAAGAGGAAGGGGAAGCAGCATAAGAGGAAAGCGAAGAGCTGTCGTTCAACCAAATGTGCCCCAGCTCCTAATCTGTTTAGTTTCCCAGCTAGAGCAATCGAGGGATTCAAAACACTGACACAGTTTCCCTAGGGGTTTAGAGACCTGGTAGAGGAGGGAGGGGGGCCAGGGAGGAAAGCCCACGCAAGTCCAGCCCAGGTAGAAAGAGGTTAGGTAAGAAAAGGGTGTGGTATTGTGGGGCAAATTTAAGCAAGCGAAACAAAAGCACGCAGATTGTCAGACAAAAAAATTGCCCCTAGGCCGGGCGCGGTGGCTCAAGCCTGTAATCCCAGCACTTTGGGAGGCCGAGGCGGGTGGATCACAAGGTCAAGAGATCAAGACCATCCTTGTCA